TTTATAAAACTTCCCATTCTTTATCATATAAAGAGAATGTCATACTAATAATTCATTTGAACTAATACCTTTAGTTAAAGTACAAATTCGATCAACCTTAACAATTTGGTCAACATAGACTTGTTCGGAATTCATCTCCAGTCAAGTCTTAACCATGTACCAAAACACAAGTCCACTTGTCCGATTTACCAATCTGGACAACTTTAAAACAAACCCGATCAAGCTTGTCCGATTTATATATACAACATTTTTCCAACACTTTTCAAATTCGATTTTTCACTCAGTCGGATTACATAATTCCGCTCAAGGCTTTGGTCCGTTTATGAATAAATCGGACAACATACCAGTCGGCATATATCTAATTCGAACAACCTTTGATCGTATTCCTACTTCTCCGTTTAAAACATTTATGCGGTTTACAAAGATAGAATCTTATCAACATATTAATCAGATCAATACTATGATTGATTTCCCTTAAATCATATAACACTATGTCCGGTTTATAACTAATCCGGACAACATATTAATCGATTTATGATCAAGTCCGGGTGATAGTCCAATACAGAATTCAATATTCAATTCATGAGAAATTACTTTTCAAGCTGGAAATAGGATGAATCAAATTACTCACCTTCAAAATTTGTAAAAGAAATCACTTGATTCCAGTTCAATTTGAGCAATCCGATCGACTCTCTTTTTAAAACCCTTTCTCAGTATTCAATAGCATTACGAAGCTTTTATGAGGAAACTCCCCTCTATTTATATCCTTCCAAAAATGGAAGGTGGCTAAAGCCTCATGTGCATTCAACTTTCCATGCATGCATGCATACATACATACATACCCATGCATACAATTTAATTATATGCATACATCCAACTTCATTTTATTCACCATGCATGCATATAACATTTATGCATAAAACTCACATACTCGCATAATCAAATATATCAATTTATCATGTTGTCACGTAAAAATATAAGAAATAATCATGTATTAGTTAACTTAGGTGATAACCAAGAACTGGTTATCACACTTAGCATGTGGGGTACTTAAGGAAATGAAATACCCCACTTCCCTTAGAAAAATAGCCTCATCGGACAGAACTTCCCCGGTTAAAGGAGTTATCAGACAAGAAATAATTGATATCATACAATATTGTGCCAATTCTTATCGCCCAAATTTTTTTTATCCGAATAACTAATTAACAAACACTCTCCGGATACCCTTAATCCGGACACAAAGATCTCCAGACACACAATTATCCAGATACAATGTTCTTCGGATAATGTTTTCACCTATTACAGATGGTTATCGGACACCTCTTCACCAGATGACTCTTTTCACCGGATAACTCTTCACCGGTTGACTTTCTTCTCCGGACGACTCTTCTTCGAATAACATTCTTCTCCAGATGACTCTTCTCCAGATAATTAACAAAATTTATCCGTATACCCTTTTGTCTGGATACAACTTATTCGGATAACAAAGTTATCGGACAAGTCTGCAATACGAAACACTTACACAAAAAATGAGCGATAAAGACTCATAAATCGGACATGTCAAAAATCAACAATTCAACACTCAATTAACACCCGATGAAATGCATTTATCGCTTGATGAATTGTTCATCGGATGATGAAGATGAAGCAGTATAGAAAAATTCAGATTACACACCAAAATGCTCACAACAAGATCAAATTGAATACTAATTGTGATAACCGAGTCTTGGTTATCACCTGTGGTAAACAATATGTGATTATTTGATATATAATTATGTGAATAGATGATTAATTGTTATGGTTAATCATGTGGATACATGCTTACATGAGATTAATATGTGAGTAGGTGTATTTTTCATGCATGGAAGTATATGCATAAATTTTAAGTATATTCATATATTATAAATATATGCATGAGATGTGTGTGAATGATTGCATATGTTTTGTGTATGTGGGCAAGAAATTATATGCATGCATGTTTAACTGACTTTCCATTTTGGAAAGTATAAATAGAAGGTATTTGAGTGAGGGCAAGGTTTCTTCTTGCCATTTTTAGAATCATGAGAAAAAGAGAAATATCATGTAGATTGCTTGCATTAATTTGGAAACTAAAGTTGGATCCATACATGCTGTTTATCTTCAAAATCTGATAATTGCATAAGGTAAGTGATTTTAAACATCTTATGCATGTGATTTCATCATTGGTATATTGAATCCTGCATTGTTCTTGAAAAACCTTGAATGATCGAATTAAGTTCATCTCCGGTAACTGTGTTGATAGGATTGGACGTGTCCGGTCACTATGTTGACCGGATAGAGTGTTGGTATGATTTTGAAGCTAGCGAGTCCAGCCATAGTGTTGACCGGATTGGGACTTGTCTAACCATAGTGTTGATCGGAGAAGAGTAAGTCCGGCCGAGAGTTGACCGGATCAGAGTCTATGATGAAATTCTCTTATTTAAATGTTGATTGGATTCAGATATGTTAAAATTATATTTGGACAGTGTTGTCCGGATGGGAAGTCTGGCCCAGTCTGTCCGGACTTGGCTTGACTGGATATGATATCCGGCTGGGTCTACATATGATTGCCAGATAAGTTTATTCGAATATAAGTTGTTTATTCAAGTTTAATTATGTTGAAAATATAGGTTTTTAAATATTGGAAACGGATTAAAGTACTAATGGTTCTGAAATTTTAAAGTTTTGATATAAAGACTGTTTTGAAACTGTTACTGGTTAAAACTATACATAACGTTCCATCAGGATGATTGTGACTGCCCTTTTTGGAAATAATCTACAGATTTTATGAGGAAATAAGGGTGGCATATCAAAGAGAAGTGTACCATGGGATAAGGGTGGCAAATCAAGGAGAGGTGTACCTTTGGATATAAGGGTGGCATTTGTGTATGTGATTATTGATTCAATTCTTACTACTATGTCCTTTAAGTTTACGATGGCTTTGAGTCCTTATTTCTTTGTGATTTAAAGGTTCAGAAACATTGTTCTTATTGGAAATGATAGTAATGAAACTTTGAATAACCATGTTTCTGATGAAAATGTTTAGGGATGTGTGTGTGGAATATGAAAGGCTTTAGCCCTGCTTTTGCTAATTAAACTATTCATAAAGTCAAAGTTTGGCTTTGGAAATTAGAGGAGCACTGATCGATGTGAACTATGTGGTTATGTATCTGTTTATATGAAAAGTTAATTCTAAATAAATTTTTGGTGATCTTCACCCTGTAATTACATAGAAAAAGGGATCTAACTAGACCTTCTAGTCTAACCCTCATCTTTGTCTTTCTAATATGTAAAAGGAAGGGGGAAATTTAATTATTTTCCTATATGCATAACTATGTGAAGATCAGCTTTTCGATAAATCTAGTTTTGATGATAAATGTTAATTAGTAAAAGAACTCGTATTTTGAACTTTTGGGTTATGTATTTTCAACAGTAATTTCTTGTACTATGGGACCTAAGTCGAGTAATACATGTATTTTGTTTTAATAAAGTATGTGTTATATGCAATGTGTGATGTGGGGTGTTACAAAAAGTGGTATTAGAGACTAGGATTAAGGGATTTAGTTATTTAAAGCATGATACCTAGACTTAAACTATTTCATTGCATGTTAGGGGTCCCAGACATAGTTAGCACCATTGGAAATAAATATGATGAGTTAAGAGAACAGTGTGTAAGGAAAATTTGAATTACATCTGATCAATGTAATTATGAATTTACAGGTACATATCTGAACTTAGACACTTCATTATATTTGGGAATGTGAATACGTGAATATTAATATTGAAATTTGCAGATGTCTAGCCGATCTCGAAGATCTAAAAGATCGCCCGCCCCAATCCTGATGATACAACGATTTCCCCTATCAATACTCCTAGTTATACTTTAGAGGATAGATGTAGAGGAAAGAATAGAGGCAGAGGGCAAGGCAGAAGGCGAGGAAGAGGTCAAGCAAGAGGAAAAATTAGTCAATCTGAGACTCGTCCTGATCATGGATTATCTCACTCTAGAAATACTAATCAAGAATAGATGCCCCAGCTAGAGTATGTAACAAGAGATATGTTACCAGAGGAAATGGGAAAGTTAAGGGAAACATTGACCTCCATTATGGGGATACCTGCTAGAGTTGAAACGAAAAGAGTAGAAATAAATCCCTCTGTTCCAGTTACACATAGGAAAGAGGGAGATATTAAAATGTTTTTGACATGCAAACCACCAACATTCTCTGGAGAAAGAGATCCAGTTAAAGCCATGTGTAGGATTAAAGAAATTGAGTTAGTGTTGAACACCATTAGATGTCTGAACACAAATAAAGTTAGGTTTGTTGTTTCCGTATTGATGTCTAACACACTATTTTGGTGGTAAGTCGAATCTTTAGCTAGAACAGATGTTTTACAAATGTTATTTTGGGTATTATGTATGAATAGTTTTAAATGAACAGTTTTGTCCCAAGACAGCTGTAAGACAGATGGAGGAGGATTTCTTGAAATTAGAGCAAGGTACTTGAACTATTCGGGAATACACCAAGAAGTTCATTGAATATTCTTGATTTACTGAGCACTACATTTCATCTGAATCCAGAAAAGTGGAAAGATATATATGGGATTTAAAGCCTTCAATTCGAGAATTTGTGATTGCCATGAATCCTACCACTTTTTCATTGACTGTGGATGCGGTAGAGGTCACCAAAAGAAATAAAAATAGACAAGAAGAGGGAAAATTTGTTGACAAAATGAAATAGGAAGGACCTTCATCTGATTGTCGAGGGTCAAAAAGATATGTTCAGAAATTTAATGAAAAAGCCTGTGCCCGGTGTCGACAGAATCATCAGGGTGATTTTAAAATAGACTTTAGAAAATGCAACAAATAGGGTGAGGTATGTCATTTATCGAGAAGTTGTCTGATTACTAGAAGATGTTTCAATTGTAATTCACCGAATCATATTCAACCCAATTACCCACTATCAAGGACTCCGTAGTTGACTATGGGAAGTAATGCATCGAGTGCCCGTGGAAGACCGAACATAATTAGAGGAGGGGAAGGAGGGGCACGAGGTCGGTCATTTCATATGACAAAAGAATGAGGCCGAGGCTACACCTTACGTAGTAACAGGTACATTTTTTCTTAATTCTATATATGCAAAGGTGTTATTTGATTCAGGTGTAAACTTTTTGTTCGTGTCACCTTCATTTGCTAAATCTGCATGTATGACTTTTGTGCCAGTTGACAATATATTAGTAGTTGATACTGCTAATAGTCAAGAACCTGTTGCTTTTGTGTTCAATAATTGCATTAATGAAATTGAGGGATGTTTGTAGGTTGCTGATCCGACTGTTTCCAATGCCAATGTAATATTTCAACATTGTGGTGGGAAGGGATTGGTTAGTAGAGAATCAGGCTAGTATTCTGTGCAATAAGAAAATGATCTTTATTGATCTACTGGGGAAAGGACCGATTGTTATTTATGGTGATCGGCAGGATCACCATACCAACTTCTTATCGGTTCTGAAAGCCTGAAAGTGTATTCAGAAAAGATGTCATAGTTATTTGGCTTATGTGGTAGATGCAAAGAAAGAAAAAGGTAAGCAAGAGTCGATTCCAGTTGTATGTGACTATCTAGAAGTCTTTCCGGAAGATTTGACAGGGCTACCGCCTGATAGATCTATTAAGTTTAAGATTGATCTGGTACCCGAGGCAGCGCCAGTAGCAAGAGCACCATATCAGCTAGCACCATCGGAATTAAAAGAATTGGTTACTCAGTTGAAAGATCTTCTTGACAATGGTTTCATCAAACGTAGTACCTCACCCTGGGGTGCTCCGGTTCTGTTTGTCAAGAAGAATGATGGATCAATGCGGATGTAGTGATTATCAGGAATTGAACAAACTAATGATTAAAAATAAGTATCCTTTACCAAGAATCGATGATCTATTTGATCAACTGTTGGGAGCCAATTATTTCTCAAAAATTGATTTGCGGTTGGGATACCATCAGTTAAAAGTTATAGAAGAAGATATTGTTAAAATTGTTTTCGGAACTCGATATTGGCATCATGAGTTTTTGGTTATGCCTGTCGGTTTAGCCAATGCTCCTGCAGCCTTTATGGACCTGATGAATCGAGTGTGTAGTGAATATCTTGATAAATTCGTTATTGTATTTATCGATGATATCCTTATATACTCTAAAACAAAATTTGAGTATACATAGCATCTTCGTCTGATTCTCGATCTTTAGAAGATAGAAAAGTTGTATGCTAAATTATCCAAATGTGAGTTCTGGTTAAGAGAAGTTCAATTTATAGGTCATATCATATCTGAAGTAGGAGTGAAAGTTGATCCTGCGAAGATCGAAGCCGTAGAGAAATGGGATGCACTGAAAACTACTCTGAAGTCCGTAGTTTCTCAGGGTGTTGATCCCAGATCTCTCAATAACACTAATAATTAAGTTAAGAATAACCTAATTATATAGTTTGGATGAATAAAATGATGAACACTCAAGAACAAAAGATAAATATTCAAAGAATATACTTGAGCGTCAAATGATTCACTTTATTCCAATGATTGTGAAAAGCTTCAAAGAGTCAAATATTACAATAGGCCTAATCACCTATTTATACTAGAAAGCTATTTTAAAGATACCTATCAAAAGAGAATATCTAGCTAATCTTCTAGTAAAGATAATGCTTATCTAAACAAGATAAACCTTGTAGAATCGAGCTGTCGATTAGTCATCTCCAGCTGTCTTCCATGGGATGTTATTCTACCTTATCTTCATATCTTCATCGCATGCCTCTGGTTGAACTATTGTAGAAAACTCCAAGTGTTGGTAACCAGAGGTGCTATGAAGATGCTCTTTCCATCGCACTTCTGGTCGGTTCATCGACCATTTGGTTGTTCTACAAACTTAGTTGTTTTGCCTTGAAGTCTTCCATCGGCCTTCTGGTTCTTCATCACTTGTTTTTCTTCATTACTTTTACACATAAGAATTATGGGGTCTAACAATCTCCCCCTAAGTAATGAAAGAACAAACATGAACTAATCTAGGAACATTTAAAGTATAAGTGATGAACAGAGGCTAATCTAAAGAAAAACATCCTTTGCCAAATTTTTCATTGGACTAAATGATGAATTTTTACAATGATGGAACAAAAAGATATTACATATCAAAACAAAATACTTCATTCCTGATCTAACTTGTGTAATCTCCCAGAAGCGCATCAACAGTCCTCTAAATCGAATGACAGTTGAGATCTCATGAATAAGTTGTTGTCCCTCTCCCATCGGCACGTGAGGTCTGCCTAGTCTGTCTCTGATGCCTAGTCTGTCTCTGATGACCTTCTGAAACCTTCTGCCTAGTCTCCGTTCTAAACTCATTTTTAAATACCAGCCCCAGTTCTGGTTGATAGAGTACAGAGGCAGATCTCTTATCCTGCAGGCCTGGGAAGTCTTCATTTGGTGGAGTGCAGGATAGTCTGTCGATGCCAAGCTGAAGAGTAATTTGAAAATCACTCTTGGCTCTGGGCTTCACCAAGGTTTCCATCGCTTGAATGATCGCTTTGTTTTCCATCCCAAACCTGATTCCCTGATCCTGTCGCTGAGTCGTATGCGCATAAAGATCAATCAAGTCCCATGGATTGAGATTGATCAAGTCATTGTCATTGAAGATGCTGACATGACCATKGGCTCRCTCCATRGTGTAYTCGATGTATTTGATGGCTYTGTTCGYGAAGGTCCTCATYTTGATGTCCAWAACYGTCCTTATTCCTTCGTTTGAGAAGACGGCCTGTGGTGGATTGGTCGTTTGTCATACAAACCTGTGGTGTAGGAGGTTCATTTACTCTTGTGATAGAATGGGAGGATTGAGTGCCAAACGTTCATCGCGATCGTGGTATAAGTATTGATGGATATTCTCCATCATCACTGGCTCCCTTGGTGGCATCTCTGGACGTCTCCTTAGCGACTCTATGTTTGCCATAATTTCATCGACCATGCCTTGAGGAGGATACCTCGATGCGGAGGTAACGTCTACTTGCACAAGCAGTGGTTGGGTTGTGGGATGTGTATGGGTTGGTGATGGAATGGTTTCTTGTTAGGTTGGCTCATTTTGGGGTAACTCTAGTTCATTGGGGTCTGGTTGGTGGTTACTTGTTCATGGGGTTCTGTTTGGGTTGGTGGTGGTTGTGGTGAGGTAGATTGGGTGATTATGGGTTCTGGTTGTATAGGTAGGGTGATGGAAGGTTCTGTGTTACGAGGAGTTGGTGATGAAGTTAAGGGTAGGTTAGGGGTTGGTGAAGGAGTAAATGGTAGGTTGGTTTCTTTTTGTGGGGTAGTTGGGGTTTCATCAGATGAAGAACTCACCTCAATTGGTGAGAACTCATTGACTTCGGTGATTGGTACTTGGGTGGTTACTAAGGGAACAAGTACATTATGTACATCTTTTGAGGGCTGAGCCTCTGGTTTCCTCGCTTGGGTTCCTTGGGTTGATGATGGTGGTTGGTTTTGTGATGGTGGAGGTGGTGGTGCAGCGGACTCCATTTGTTGAGCAGCCGGGTTCTCCCCCTCATGAGGAACAAGACCATGATCATCCTGGTCTGGATCCTCATGCCTTGGCCTCTTTAGAGGGCGGCTCGATGAGCATGAGGCTCTGTTGCGCTTCTTCCTCAGCCTCATGCGCTCCCAAAAATTGTGTATACGCTCCCTCGTGCGACGTTGTTCTAGCGTGCGAAGAAGAGTATTTGTTCGATCTTGTTGTTGGAGTAGACTCTTCTTCAATGCCTTGGTTGGCTCTGTAGCTCTGGTCACAAACTTTTCACTTATCTCATTGAACGATGAGATAAGTGCCTTGGAGAGGGATTTCATGTCTGTTCTGGTTGCAAACTCTATTGGGGTGGTGGAAGTTGAGCCTTGAGGAGGGATGGAGGTTGAGGTGGGTGGTGGAATGGGGAGGGATGCTAACATATTCCTCACCTTTGTAGTGAAGATTGTGACGGCTTCATCAAAGGATGGAGCTGTAGAGGGGTGGTTGAGGTACTTCGGCTAATATGCTGGCTGGGTGTGATGTAAGGGTGGTTTGTATGGTGGCTATTTGGGTGGAGAGAGAGGCGATGGTTTCATTGATAGATGTGGTTAAGGGTGGGGTTGGTTGAGGGATTTGGGAGAGTATGGTGGCTGGGAGAGTAGTGAGGGTATTGGTGATGGTGTTTAGGTGGGTGGGGATGGAAGCTATTGCCTCATTGGTCGCATTTTTCTAGGTCGTGAGGGTGGCTAGGGGGTTCATGATGGTTTGGTTTCGTATGGTGGAGAGGGTGGATGCAGCGTGATGTTGTTGTTCAAGGGTTTGTAGAAGCATGCGGATGCGGGTGGTCTTGTCCTTGGCTTGGGCTTCAAGGGTGGCAAGGGATTGTCGAATTGGGGTTAAATCTTTGGATGGGGGGGATTTTGACAATCCTTTGTAAGATGAGTTTTTGGTCATCCAAGGACCGTTGAGTCGAGTCAACAAAGGCTTGGAACTCCGCCTTTGTGACTAGATCATCCATAGGGGTAACCCCTGCATCAACTGATGGTGCAGGTTGTGCCTCAGCTCCAGAGGTGCCTTCATTGCCTTGTGAAAATATGGGTAAAGGACTTCCATCGAGTCCTTGATAGCCTCTAATGAGGAGTTATCTCCTGATGTTGCTACATCTTCTTCTTCTTCTTCTTCGGCTTCAGAGGCCGAGTAAGAGAAGTAGTTGTGTGTCCCCTTCGCTAGATCAAGTATCGAAGAGGCTTGTGCTCGAATGGGAGATCGCTCTGAACGATCTTGGGGAGGTTCAATGCCAGAAGCAACACATGCTTCTGGGTGTGTCAAGGGTTGTGGCGAGCCATGAGGCGATGTGGCTCTTATGTCTTCATCTCTAGTGGCCTGAAAAGTGGCCTTTGGATGGCTAGCTGGGGTGTGGATTGGACTGGGCCATCCTTGTTCAATACCCCTTTGGCCTTGATCTCCAGGGGTAGTAGTGGTGGTTGCCCAATGGGAAGTGAGTGCGGAAGTTGTGATTATAGGGTCGGGGAATGCGTGAGGAGGGTTATCATCATCATCATCTGATGAAGACGACTCTTGCACTCCCTTGCTTGCATCGGGGTACGGCTCTATCTGCTCTGGTGTAGATGCCCGCGGTTGTTAGGACAGCAGAGAGCGTTCATACTTCCTTCTAATCCTAGACGTCTTTGGTATGACGCTGAGCATGGCCCTCGAGACGGTTTTCTCTGTAGTGTAGCCATCTTTGGAAATTGTTGGGCGATGGTCGTTCATCAAGAATTATGGAGTGAATGGTTCTTCAGCCGGTAGGCTGTGTCTCCTCATCACGTCCCTTATGAATAGGGCAAGGAAACGTGGGAAGAGGACAAAGGACAATGGCTTTCCATGGCCATGAGCTTGCACTTCTTGATCACCGCTTCATGGATCTCATTGTAGAAGAGAAGGGCGTAGTCCAGCGGTAGGTTGAAGAAGAGTCCATACATTATTGTCATAATTTTGATGTTCCCATGATCCATGCTCCCGAGCATGCAGGTGAGGGCTTGGTTCAGGATTGATAAGAACATGTTCCACATAGGAGGCAAGAATTGCCTCTTGAAGTCTGATGCATTGCATAGGTCACGGTTGTAACCTAGCATCTTGATGAACTAGAGTATGTTAGAATTGGCGGGTGGCTCGGCGTAGTGTTCAATGTTGAGTTCTTGGCGAGTTGGGATGCATAACACTTTTGAAACTTTTGCGCAGGAGATCTTCACCGAGCAAACCATGTCATTTGGGGCATCAATGTCCCCCATTATGCCACGGTTCTCCAAGAAGAACTCGCATGTCTGCCAGTATTGTTGGACGTATT